AGGAAACGAGGGCTCTCCTACATCGTCTCTTCCTACTTTGTTCTATGAAGGATAGACACAAATGCCAGGAAAATATTTATAACTGATGACTAAGGTGGCTGATGTGCAGATACAGGAGAGGTCGAAGTTTAGAGAGAAGAAAAACAAAACAAGACAGCACAACAAAATATATTTGAATCAAAGAGTCACAATCCACGCCAGTCCTCTTTAACCAGTTTCTTTTTTTAATCTCACAAAACACATGACTCTGAGACATGAGCTCTTTTTTTCCTTCTGTGCAGCTAACAATCTCACCAAGTTTAAAAACAAAGGAGAAGAAAATAATTTATACATCATTTTTTTTATATCTACAAAAATAAAATCAAATACAATGACTAACGCTTTACAGAAAAAAAAATTAACGTATATAAAACAAGTGGGTTGATCTCTATATTACATGTGAACAAGATTTCTTCTTTTTTAAAAAAGACAAAAATAAAGAATGAGATGATAGTTATTGATGTGTTTATGCATACAGTAGTTTGCACTGTGCAGGGAAGTTTTGTCTGTGCAAGATTTTTTTTTTCTTCTTTTTAAACAATGGAATCAATTCTAGCTTCTTTCCAGCCATTAGGGCTGCGGCGCTGACGTAAAAATGATAAGGAAATCACTAAAAGGAAAGTGTAGAGGTAGGAATTAGAAAACGCTGTTGAGGAACAAAGAGGACAGTACACTGAAAGATGTGCAGAAAAGAAAAGATTAGCATTCAACCAGCTCAGACCATTTGGTGCTTTGTGTTTGTTTTTTAATTATAAATAAAATGCAGAGTGTGAAAGCTGTGTGCTGACAGCTTGATGTGAAAAGGTGTTAAAAATAGTGATTTTAACGTTTAATAGTAATAATGTCAGTCTCTTGGTCTGAAGTGCTTGAAACTCAGCCGCCAAAATGTGAATAAAGAAAACAAAAAAACGTGTTCCCTTAAACACCTCTGGAGTTAAAAAAAAATCACTTTGGTGAAACATTTTTACATTTTAGCACAAATTTCATACAGCTGTGAAAAGAAAAATCAGCCATCCTGGCATTAAGTAGCACTGCTTTAATCATCTCTCTTCTTTTTTTTTAAATTTGCATTTAATGTTTTGTACACGTGTGATTTGACAGTCACACGTTCTCCTACACAGTGTTGGTGGCTGAAGAGCAAAATCCTTCCACTAGGCAGTGAAACATCCGTTCAAATGGCAGAATCTGACAGTGCGAACGACTGAATCTGCTCCTGGTTTTGATCAGTTTAGTGTTAGGATTAGTTATGGAGCTTGTAATCAGGGTTACTCACTCCTCAGTTAGTATTTGAAACCAGCTCAAATCAAATTCAGCGCGGTGTGTTTCTGCCCAGCGCGATGAGCATTAAAGAGGCAAAAAAACAAAACAAAACAAAAAAACACTTAAACTGCTATTTAGTTGCAGTTTAAAATACACATTTTGTCCTGCCGTGTATTAGAATTAGTACCAGACAGATGTAGTTTGAGAGAAAAAGGACAGAATAGAGAAAAATCACTTGGCTTTAGTGTCAGTCATTGCTGGTTAGATGTGCCTCAAACAAGGCGTTCAACAAAAAATTTGAATGTCAGTAGCAATAAAACAATCCTAAATATGTTCCCAAAAGTAGTTAAAGGAACGGCCTGACTTCTGGGAAACACACCTCGATGTGTAGACCATCACCAGTCTCACGTATGTGCTTTGAATACAGAACTTCAGCTAACAGCTAGCCAGCTTAGCTTAGCATGAGGACTTGAAAGAGCCAGTCTGGCTCCTCCCAGAAGCAACAAACCCACCTGCTAAGCTCAGTGAGAACAGAGTAGGTAATAATCCAAATAGTTCACAGTGTGCTAACTAGAGAGCACCACATATCCCATTTACTATATCTGCAAACCAGGTAGCGCCCACTAAGTCCAGACTGAGTGTTTCCAGTTGTGAAAATATCCCGTTGTGCGCTACATGTGAGAAAAGGCAAACTAATTTGGACAAAGATCCTGACTTGATTCTCCCAATGCTGTGCTGAGTTCAGATGTGAAAATTGGCTCTTGGAGGTGCTAGCAGGTGGGTTTGCTTACTTTTGGTCAAGCCCAGCTTCCAGTTTTGATGCTAAGCTCCGCTAACCACCTGCTAAGGCAACGAAACTGAGTGTTTTCCCGTAAAATGTCAGAAGGTTCTTACAAAGCTTTTAATCTTCCACAATTTCAAAGTGGATGTGTGCTTGGAGTGGGGGTGGAGCGCAGTCGTTTTCATGGCTTAGTGTAGGCCTGGGAGGATATAAACACTACTTATGGGTTTAATATTAAATGGGTAGAAGTTGCTGGTTCGCAGTATTCACCGTGGTGGGTCACTACACATTTACACATAACACTAGAGAGGGATGCACAGTTAAACCCTAAAGTGTAGACAGGCGACGCCAGTCTGGTTATTTGGCAACAGGTTCTTGGTGAAAATTCAAGTTTCTTAAGTTTGAATCATCCCAGGTTTGAGTCTCACCTCAACATACTGTAAATCTCCCCAAAACGTTCCAACAGCTGTACACGGTCAAGCAACTGCATGAATCCGCTGAGCACGTAAGAACCGCTGAGATCCCTGTGCGCCCCTGAAGCGGCGCTGAAAATAAATCCTGCCAGCATTTTCAGTAGTAAACAGCGTAGTACTGTTTCCAAAATACAAAAATGTGAAACATGTTGCACTGATGAAAGCCTTCCTGTAGCTTCAAAGAAGGCGTGTGAACGAAATGAATTAAGAGTTTCTTCCACAGTCGGTGTAGGAGATGAATGAGAGTTCGGCTATGTGTGTGTGTGTGTGTTTCCTTACCCAGTGCAAATAACCTGAATTATATAGACACAGTCCTTCGGCCAAGGTGGCAGGTGAAGTCGGTGTAAAGCAAACAGCGAAGGTGGAGGGGGAGGGAGACCCCATCAGGAGGCAGTCTCAGCCCTCCACCCCACCCTCCCTAAATGAAGCCTGAATCCTTCAGTCCCTGATCTGTCCGCTGTAGAGGACGTACATGACAGACAGGTGCATTGTGGGTAAAGTGCTGGGGTGACGGGTCCCTCTGATTTTTTTTTCTTCTTCTTTAAATTAACATTTAAACATTTTTGCTGCTCTGTTCCTTCAACCAGTTCTCCAAAAGCATTACATGAACACTTCTTTCCTTCACAAATATCCAAACTTGCTCACATTTCCACTTTCAATTTTTCCAACTTCTCTCTTCCACAGTCAACTTGTCTTCTGCTTTTTTCTTCCTTTCCTTCGTATTTATTCCTCAACTTCCGTGGACTCCGTTCATTCTGCGCTTACTGAGCTCAGAAACCTCGATGAGTCAGTTCACCTTCCTGTTATATCAGGGCAACAGAAACAAAGAAATGGTGACGGGCTTTTTGATGTTCTGCGCCACAGGCTGGTGCACGCGGGGCTGATGGGTGAGTGGAACCGGGTCTAAGGGGAAGCCCCAAAGTGGATAGCTACGTCAGACTGCCAATCAAGATTAAGCGACTGCAAATGGATTTACCATGCAGCCGCATCAGAATCCAGTCGACAGGATTTTGGGCTCGGCAGGTCTGCTCTCTTTGCCTGGTGTGATTGAAGGATGAAAGCATTGATTAGTAGCACAAGAGGAGAAGTTGCTATCATCGGCCAACAATATGTAAAAGTTCAAGCTGCAAATTCAGTGCGTGCTCACCATCTCCTGAGCTACGATCCAGAGACGGCGTCCTGGAGACGGTTGCCGAGCGACACTGCTGGTCCTCAGACTCCTGACTGATGGAGGACTCTCTGAGAGTTTCCAGAAGCTTATAGTGGGCCTTCTCTATCTCCTGCAAAGGAGTTAACAGTTTTAGGAAACACACTTATTTCTGGTATGTGATGTGTGCCACATTTAATTTTGTGTAAAGAAAATTGAATGAATAAATCACTAAGCTTGTTTTTATCTACACAGGACTCATCATATCGATGTGGCTTTAAAGTTCACAACTGCTCATAAACAAGTAAGTGAACACTTAAATCATAGATTTTATCCTGGTCAACTAAATGTTTAAGCAGAAACTCTTTACTGACATGCTGTATAATTCACTGACAGCAGGGTTTCTCAGTTGGATTCAGTTCTGGGGAACATGAGTACCAGACAATGACAGCAACTCCCTGCACACTGTGCCAACATAAGGCAGGCACTGTCCTGCACCACGAGGCTCACTATACCTGCATAATGTCTGATGATGTGTCTGAGAGGTCAGTGTGGTGACCAACAGCTGTGAAGGAACACTGGCTGGCAAGGGAAAGTCTGTGAGCATCCAAGAGTAGACCAAACTGTTCTCCACGGGGTCTCCTGACTCTTTCACGTCTGTCACGTGTTCAGGGTGAACCTGCTCTCATCTGTGAGGAGAACGGGCCACCAAATGCTAACTGGCACACGGCTGTGAGCACAGGTCCTACTAATGGTGCTTTTATGCTTTCTGTTCTCTCCCTATTGCATGGCTGTGTGTGACAAAACTGACACCAGTGTACGATCATGTTGGTTTTTAACCACCGTTTAAATGACGGCTCAGTAAAGCAGCTCAGAGATCGTCAGATTGCGCAGAGGGATATGCTGCAACAGTTTCAAAAAAATGAGACTTCTCTTCCTATATCAGTGCTTATGTGGTGATGCTGTGTCAGTGGCGACACCTATCTTTCAGGAGAATACTGCAGCTGCTTACTGCGCCTTAACGGTGAGCAAAAATAGAAGTAACTGTGTGATGACACCGTCAGTTTACAACAAGCAAAGCGACCGACTCAGTGGGTATCCTGGGACGTTGAAGGACGTTGGGCCCTTGAGTCTCTGCAATACAGTCTGACTAAAGTTTGGTCACAAACCTCCACCTGAGTGACCTCCTAGAGGTCATTATGCAGGAGTGCTGCTCCTATGTTCCTGGACTAACGTCCTTCCACCCTAACCAGCCGTCCTCATGTAACAGCGTACCTCCTGCCATCTCCTCCGCACCCTTCAGACTGTGCTGGCAGACACAGTTAACGATCTTTGAGGAGCTACACTATCTGTGCTCCGGACACAATCTAAGGCTATGACAGGTGTCCTGTCATCACCTTCATTCGCACCAAAGCAAATGAAACCTATTCACAATGATGTATGTTTCTTTACTGGACAGACTGAAGATTATACACATTTTTCCCTGTTTCCTCAGATTCTTGTTTCTTAAAAGCTTCTTAAAGCATATAATATCTAATCTTCTGCTGTTACTGTGGTCTAATAACCACACACTGAACATGGTCGGGGGTGTGGAGTTGCCAGTTGACACAGACAGAATAACAGCTTGCGCCGGTTGCTTTTTTGTTGCCGGATTTTCCACAAAACTCACCTTCAGGTGGCGCAACTTGGTCATCAGCTCCTCAATCGTGTGAAAAATCTCATCCACGTTTCTGATTACGTGAGTGTGTTGCGCAGCCTGCAAATGGCCTGTTTCTTTTTCCTGTTCTAGTTGCATAGTCTCTGATTGGTTGGCCTCCGGGCCGCGGGCTGCCGGCTCCTCTTCCATCTGCGTCTGTGGCAACGTCATTTCCTCTACAGGTGGAGGGAAGTGGCTGGCGGTGGGTGTAGGGGGGTCGTTGAGATCTTCAGTCACGCTCTCGCCCTGTTCTATGGGCATGACCAGGTAGAAGGTATTTCCTGAATCGCAGAGGTGTAACAAAACAAGAAGTGTTTTAGTGAATGAACAGAGAGTAAAATCAACACCGCTAACATCAGATGTTATATTCTTTATTACACCTATAAAAAAAACTACAGCTGTGGACCAGGTCGGTCAGCATTACCCTGCTTTTTGGCCTCGCTTCTTGACTTGGATGACTGATTGGAGGGGAGGGTGACATCATCAGTGATGTCTTCAGCGACAGAAGAAGAAGAAGGAGGAGGACCCGCAACCACAGCTACGCACACAGAGGATAGACTTGTGACAAAAGAGGAGTGCACTGAAAGGTGTAAAGGAGTGAAGAGTTGAACTAAAGCAACCAGTGTGCCGTCACGTTCTCAACAACGAGAAGATAAAGTGCGTGAGAGAGAAGACATGCAAAGGACGGCGGCCATTATTCACACCCAGATGTCATATAAGCAGATGACAGTGACCACGTGTCACCTCATTGGGGGAAAAAGGTGCAAATTATAGCTTAAGATGTTTAATTATCTGAGAATTTAGTGCAATCATGAGTGAGCGGCTGCTGAAAAAAAATCATGAAAAAACGGGTGCTCGGCAGCCAGGCTGTGTTTACCTTTCCTCACAACCTGAGGTTTGGGTGCTTTTGCAAGCAGCAGCTGTTCTGGCTCCGCCTCCCATTCATCGGTGCAGCAGCTGAGGACCGTCTCCAGAGACTCCGGTCGCTGCCTCTCTGTGAATGAGTTGCTTTCAGCGGCCGTCTCATTGGTGGGTGTATCATCTGAATCGTGGCTCCAACAGTCCTCTCCGAAATCTTGTAATATGAGCTGCCGCAGGGTTTCAACTGTAAAATTTTTTTAAAAAGGATGAATTTTGGATTAGCGATGATTCAGGTTTAAAGGTTCGATTTCTTTCTTTTCTACTTTTTATGTTCCACAATCAGAAGAAACAGAATCCAACGTAAAATACTCGGAGGCTCTCACCGTCTTGCAGAGCGGCCTCCGCCACGCCTTGTCCTTTGAGCAAAGCTTCCGATTGGTCCACAGGCGTACTGTGGGAGATCGCTGGCTCGTCGCTGTTGGAATGAGTCTCCGTGGAGTCTGACTGCTCCGTCATTGAGTTATCTGGGAGAAAGCGAAGTTGGAGAAAGCTTTTTAAAACATCTGCAGACTGTTTACAGATCTGAGGCCGACGATCGCGGCGTGGTCATTACCTCCGTAGGCATTGCTGCCAGTCGAGACGGGGGAAGAACTGCGTAGACTCGGGGACCTGGAGGAAGAATAAAGAGTATGACGCATATTTTTGGATTAAAAATAAACAGATCAAAGAACATACAGATCATCATATTGTGTTTAAAACAAGGATGTCAAACATAAGGCTTGCGGGCCAGAATCAGCCCACCAAAGACTCCAATCCTGCCAGTCGGACTGTTTTGGAAACATGTGAACTCTGCACTTTTAAGTTTGGTAAAGTTTGACAGCTTTTCCTGCTTCCACGACCACTCATGCGACAATAACATAAATAAGTGATAGTTACATAATTAAATGACAGAAAAGTTCAATTTTTTCACTGTCTAATCAGGACATTTCATCAAAGAAATGATTCAAATCAAATCTACTCACGACATGGGTATCGAGCTGTGATTCATCAGAGGTGACGATCCGCCGGCGGCAGAGATGGCCTTTTCCAGTAAATCTTTCCAGCTGTTTAACAAGAAGAAGTTAAGACATTTTAAATTAAGTGAAGAGTGCAGCACAGCACAGGTTTCCTCAGGTAAATGTGAATGAATCAAAGAACAGAGCTTACGTCTCCTTCTTGGATGTTGTTGCAGCCACCAGCTCATAGATCTGCATATCTGTGGTGCTGATGATGTAAAGAGCTTTCTTGTCTACAGAAAACAGAAATAAAAAATAAAATTAGTAAAAAAAAAGGTAATTAAATATTATTTTAAAATTACAAAAACAGAGAAACAAAAGGCTGCGAGCGTACCTGTAGCTACCGGGCGAACAAGCAGCGACGCCAGGTTCACTAGAGGGCTGAAAGAAGTCTTGCTGTCACCGCTGCCTCCCCCGCCTCCACCCAATCTGCTGGAATGATTTCGCAGCTGTAGGCGGTCGTCCGGGCCCTTCTGAAGGAGGACGAGGCAGTCTGACAGCAGCAGCGCTTGGATCTCTGACACAGGAATGCAGATATTTGTGGTTAGAAGGCCTGAAACTAAACTGATGAGACATAATGACCACAGCGATGCTCACCTATCAGCTTTTCTTTGTTAACTTTCCAGGTGAGAGGACCTTCATGGATCATTCTCTTCGTGGTGAGGTCCACATTCTGCGTGAAACAAGAACGAAGCGAAACATTTACAGATCAAAAATGAATCGTTGTCATTTAAAAATCAGAAGAAAAATAAAGTTTTAAACTTGTCCGCCACCTTGAACTGAGGAGCAGCATCCAGCCTGCACTGGTACTCGCTGAGGCGCTGCCGGTGCTCCGATTCCCTAACGTCCTCATTGACGCTCTGCAGTATCCCTCGGCAACACGCGTGCGCTCGCTGGAGCAAGGGCAAATCTGATGAGCCCGCTAAAATCAACAAAACAAAATAAGATCATGGTTCCTAGCAACAGCTCAGTTTGTGGTCAGGGTTATGTTGGATCTGCTTTTCCTCACCTTCTGTGTATTTAACGATTTTGTCCAGCAGCAGCGGGTACTTCGTGAGTCTCTGCATCTCTGACACCAGCAGGTCTTTGAGCTGTAACCTGCGGCAGTGAGGACTCGCCTCACACTCCTGAACAAATAAAACAACGCGGTCATGTTTAAACACAACTATACTCTTTATTACACCTATGACACATATACACAGTATAATAACTATCCTGTACACAGAACTATTTAGTGCACACTCGAATATCACTTGATATAAAGCGATTAATAACAACTGTTCCTCAACACAAATCAGTCACCAATCATCCAATCACACGGAAGCAACTGAGTCAGGATGACCTACTGAAGCTCAAACTGATTTAAGGGACTGTGAACATCTGGTTCCTTTGGACCCTCAGCACAAACTGATCATCATTTAAACACCACAGGCTGCCTCGTCCACGTCCATCCCTTTATGACCACAGTGTACCTATTTTCTGATGGATGCTTCTAGCAGGACAACAAGTCATGTCACAAAGCTTGAATCATCTCAAACTGGCTTCTTGAACATGAGTTTACTGCACTCAAATGACATCCAGTCACCACATCACAGTTCAATAGAGCAGCTTTAAGTGGAAGAACAAACTGCAGCAACTGCGTCATGCCGTCATGTCAATACAGATCAAAATCTCGGAGAAATGTTTCCAGCACCTTATTGAATCTGTGGCACGACGAATTAAAGCAGCTCTGAAGGCCAACCTGAAACTAGCAAGGTATACCTAATAAAGTGGCCGCTGTGTTTTTGATGATAATGACAGAGCATGTTTGCTTCCTGAAAAATTAACTGGGAAATGCAAAGATTTCACACAAATCGGCCACAGACACGACCTCCTGCTCGCTGCTTTCTCACTGTGGTGAAACAACGAAGGCTTGCTTCAGACTAAGACGGCGTCCTGTACGTTCGGTGTGAACTTGCTCAGGATTATCACAGTGAATGTATAATCCCGGAAGGAAAGCACAGATGTGGGAGTGTGAAGATGCAGGGCTTCACAAGAGCAAAGGATGTTGGGAAAAACTACATTTAAATCATAAGAGCCTAACGGCGGCTACAGAACTTCTAAGATTCCTCTGTAAGGAGTGTTATAACATAACAATACCCAACAGGAAAGCTTGAATTCATGTCCTCTCACGAAGCAAAAAATAGAGAGACTATGAGCTGAGACAGTGAAAAAGAAAACGCAGCTGGGAGGAAGCAAAACTCTAGAAATGATGCAACATTGACCTCCTGTGTGCCAAAAGAGACCATGTCATTAAAAATGAAGGCAAACACACAAAGTATGAAATGTTAAAATATTTTAGTCCCAGTAAAAACAACAGCCCCTCCGACTGTGTGACTTTTACTTTGGTCTTTTAAATCTGAACTGTTGAACTTAGAAGTGCAGTTATTGTAAGGTGACACAGTTTTGAACAATCTGACAAACTGTACACACATGAACACACTTCTGTCGTCAACTGTGAGTAAATTACACACTTTTTTAAAATGATGTGTTCACTGCATAAAGCTTTAATAAGCACAAGGAGCATCAAAGTGTGTGTTGCATGAATATTTTACATGTTTTGTCAGAGGCTGCGTGTGTGTGTGTGTGTGTGTGTGTGTACCTGGATAATGTGAGCGAAGCGAGGGTCTTTACGCTGTTTGCTCTTAATGAGCTCGAGAGCCTGAGACTGCTGGCAGCACAGCTGGGACGCTTGTTCCTGAAACTCGTCTCCGGCTGCCCCTTCAAACTACACACACACACACACACACACACAAACTGTAAACACACTGAATATGGAGCACGAAAACATGTTTCTACTTGTCATCGAGACGGGAGGAGTAAAACAAACCCTGGTCAGCATCACATCCCCGATGTCCTGAACAATCGGCGATTCTCTTCGCTTCTTCATCGCCTCACACAGACTCGCTGCAAACGAGAGACACAAAAGTAACAAAGAACATCAAAGCCTGGAAATGTTTAAATTAATCATGAAAACAACACACGAGGTATTTTTAAGAACGAGGACAAAGCTTCCCCTTAGTGAGGGAGTACAGTAGTCTAACACTGATTGTCTACATGGCTCGAAATAAAGGCTCAGCAAACATATAGAAAAGCTGCTGTTTAGCTAGCAACACAGAGCCGTGAACACAAAGCAACTCAAAGTACAACACATCGGGTGTGCAAACAGACACAGCAGGACAGCAAAGGGCTCTTAAAAAGGGAGGATTTCCATTTACACAGGATATGCTTCATATTTAACTCATCTAACTAATATGAAGACATCCAAACATCAATCTTTATTCCATTTTCTTGCTTGTATTGATTAAAAGGTCACTAACCAGGCCTGTGTATAAACACTTTCACAGGCCTTTAGCAGCTATGGTGGACAAACACTGACCATGGAGCTCGTAGACTTGAGGCAAGTTGGGGAAGATGCAGGCCAGCTCGTCAGAGTTCAGGACAGTCCTCATCTTCTGATAGAAAACCTGGTCCAGGACCCGTAAGGTTCGCAGGTGGGACACCTCAGTGGTGAACAGCTCTGCACAGGATGAGGCCACATGAGGAAAGTGGAAAGGGTCATACTACCTCGCATATGTGAGAGATGTGTATTAGGAAATAAAAGCAAATTAAAACCTGCTGATTGTACTGAGAATTAAATGCTGTAGCTCTTACCGTATATGACAGCCTGTCTATCAACCTCACTGGGGCTGAGTGTTGCAAGGAGCTGAGGGGTAACAGTCTCCTGCCAGGTCTTACTATCCATCACGTCCTCCTCCAGCGCTGCAGCATCGGGTAGCAGGGCCAGCGGCGACTCCACGCTCCTACACGGGGATCCAGAAACACGGGTGGATGAGGCGGACCGACGTGTACCCGCAGAGAGATGGAGCGATGGGCAGACAGCAGTGGCGGACGACACACGAAGAGACAGAAAATAATCAGCCGTGAATCCACGATCATCTCTGTAACTCCATGTCTAAATAGTTCTTTTAAAATGTATTAGTACTGTAAGATGATCAAAGTAAAAATTTTCCTGCTTGCGAACCCAACTTCATCGACAAATGTCCATATCTTTATTCCTTTGCCCTGTCCATCTACTGTGACAACAGTTTAACTCACCTGCGTCTAGACCGAGGGGTGTATGGGGGTGTAGGGTTCTCTAGAGACCTGAGTTTGAGAGAGTGGAGAGAAAGACGGCACTAGGTGAAAACCTAGAATTCTCAGGGTCAAATCAGGGGCAAAAAACTTTATTTACATGTGCTTCAGGGGATCAAAAGTCTCTCCTTCAAATAAAGTGACCTCAGCTCCTGCCTTAAGGCTGCTAAGGTGCGTGTGTTGGTGTTTGAGCACCCCGACAGGTCTGGCTTGGTCAATCTTTACCGTGCAGAGTTGCTGGATGCAGAGGACGAGGCGCTGTGCTGCAGAGGCCTCAGGCCTGGCCCGTCCCTCTCATCCGCGCAGTCCTCCATGTCCACATCGCTACGAGAGCGGGGCACAGACTCGGCTCCTGAGGTGCCGCCCCGCCGTCGCCCTTCTCCCTGAGCCTTTAGTGACTCGCTGCGAGCCAGACGAACTGGTAGAGGGCTGGTGGGGACAGAGCGCACAAAGCAAAACCCAAAAGGCTAAATCAGTTTAACCACTTCCAACTTACAAACAATAAAGCAAAGTCTGCTTCGCTCAGTTGCTGCCAGCTGGCTGTGAACTTATACTCCAGGCGCAGCTACCTGTCCATTTCATCCCCGAGGCTGCTGGAGGAGAGCCTTTGCGGGTCAGCGCCGTCGCTGACTTCCTCGCCGGTCTCGGTGCTATTCTCAAACTGCTGAATGATGTTTCGCACGCTGCCAGGCCGGACTGCCAATACAAACGTTACTCATTACTTTAATGGTATAATAAAATAACATTCCTTTCTTTCGCCCCTACACACACACACACAGACACACACTACAAGGAGAAACGGTTGATGAAAAAACAAAAATAAAATTCAAATCCATCACCAGGTATGATTCTTAAAATTTAATTTGCACAAAAGGGTAAAATTAAAAGTGAAATTATAAGTGAAGTACCTTCGGTGGGTGACAGCGGGACATGGAATGCTACAAAATCAAAGCGAGCGAAACAGAAACAACAATAAAAATCAGAATAATGACACAATGAAAATCCCATAAATCAACGCATGAAACCAGGAAAAATCAATTAAAAGGCGAACAAAGGACAAAAAGGAATCAATAGAAGCAGAATGAGTGAGAGGGTCACGTGTGTCAGCATGCTGCTGTTTGTTGTGTGTCAGCGAACCATCAGCTGACACTGACAGGAGCCGTTATTAGACAATGTCGAGAGACCGCAGGAAGCATGACCATGAGCCGGGCCTGGATGATGATTTAAAAAGCTTCTTCTAAAGTGTTTGTGCTGTTTAATTTACTGGACTGGGATGTGGTCCGGGGTTTGCCGATGTACTTCAGGATGGGATTTCTCTTTTTATCCTCTCCATCTTTTTCCTTCTTGGTACCGCTCAGCTGTGGAGAGGAGGTCTAAGTTCAGTCACTGAGATCGAGTGCGACAAACAACAACTTTTAAGAGAGAAAATTGGAAAACACACAGTCACATCAAAATGAATATCATGCAATCAATGCAGAGAAACTGGCCACTTTGTTAGGTACACCTGTTCAACAGCTCGATAACACAAATTAGCCAATCATACGTCAGCAACTCGGTACATTTAGGCAGGTAAACATAGTCGGGACCTGCTGAAGTTTGAGCTGAGCTTCAGAATGAGAAAGAAAGGCTGCTCTTTGTTTTGACTACCAGTGAGCTGCAGTTCATCGGGCAAAAGTCCCTCAGTGATGGGTCAGAGGTCAGAGGAGAATGAGTGAGCTGATAGGAAGGCCAGAGTAATTTAGATAACGACTCATTATAACTAAGATATGAAGAAGAACATATCTAAATGCACAACTCTTTCAAAGCTTGAAGCAAATGGGCTACAGCAGCAGAAGATCACACCTGGTGTCACTCCTGTCTGCTGCAACATCTGGATGATCTCAATTTGGCATAAACAAAAGCATCCATCCATCCTGCCTTGTATTAACTGTTCAGCTGGTGGTGTAATGGTGTCGGGGGATATTGTCGTGACAATGACTTGAATGTCAATGAATGTCAACATGGACCAAAATCTTTGAGGAATGTTTCCAGCACCTTATTAAATCTGTGCCATGATGAATTACAGCAGCTCTGAAGGCAAAAGGGAGTCCAACATGGTAGCAGTAGGGTGTACCTAATACTGTGGTAGAAAATCACAGGCCAGGGCCTTTTCACTTTCTCCAAGTTTGTTTGTTCTTTAAGACGCCGTCACTTTAATGATCACAGCTGCAGAAGGTGACAAGATAAAAGGCAAGTTTCCATTCTTACCTTCTTGGACTTTAAGAAAGTGATCCACTTGTCCTTCTCTGTGGTCAGGCCGGGGAAGACCTTGGAGTCTCTAGGCTTGATCCCAGAATGACGCAGGTAGAGGATCACAGCTGAAGCCAGAGGAGAACTGAAGGAGAGGAGTGAAGAGCAGAGACCAGAAAAGAAGGTTTGAAGAATTAGGAAATTTCTAATGCAGGTGTAGCTGTTATATTTCACTCCAACAGGCGAGCCTCTTCTTTTACCTTCTGTCCTCCTCGTGCTTTGATCTGCAGCAGGAAGACAAAGAGACATAAAAACGTTGTTAACTCCCTTCACGACAAAAATCCCTTTTCCAAAGAACTCCTCAAACTTAAATCCACTTTATTCAGGTGCAAATAAGAACGCAAGAAACAGCACCGAGCCACAGTCATGTGACGGGAAGCAGCTTCTGTGTGTGTATAACGTGAGAGGAGGAAATGTCATGTGGTTTTTCCAGAGTTTGTGGCCGGGATAATGACCTTTGTCATGATAGCTTTACTGATATGTAATAACAGTTTTATTGGACGCCGAACAACTGACGGCGTCGCTAGGCAAACCTGGCTCAGTCTGTGTGTGCGCGTGTGGTGAGAGCACGAGTAAATAAACTTAATTGGACACAGCAACACAGACACAGAAAGCTGAATCAGCCGATCAAACAAAAACAAACCGCTGCCTTCACTTTGAACTCGATGTGGTTTAAACTTTACAGTTTAGGGCTAAAATACCACAATAAATGCAGACAGACTCACAGTATTTCCCACAGGGCGGTGACTTGTTTGTCCACCACCTGTTTCTCTTTCACAGCGTCTCCATCAAGGTGCTGCAGGTCTCCTTCTCCAAACAGAGAACCGAGACCCATCATCTGCTTGTTCCTGTTGAAACACACGGACACGAGGTTAATCTGAGAAACTCTTCTTCTGATTTAAAAACAATGTTTTCCACTGAATAAACAAACAAAATGAATCCTCTGTGATGTACCTGTAGTCTTGCAGCTGGTCCTGGATTTCTGGCAGCACAAGCTGCTGCAGCTCAGACAGAGGTCCCCGGATGTCCTCCTGAGCATGAAGTCGATTTTCTTATGGGACGATGGACATAATAGCAAAGGGTACAGTTAGACAGCAGGAAAAATCAAACTAATATTGATAATAATAATAAATAACATGTTTGCTTTGACAGAATAACATGAACCTTTAAACTTGATGACTACTATTTATTTACTCTAGCTACTCTCCAACTGTTTGGCAGGCTCCACCTTGTGGGCAAAAGATGCACTGCATTGGTGGATCACTGGGGGAAGAGAGACACACTGGCCACTTTATTAGGTACATGTTGCTGCTACCATGTTGGACCCCTTTTTTCCATTAAAAACTGCTTCAATTCTTCATGGCACAGATTTATCAAGGAGCTGGAAACACTCCTCTGAGATTTTGGTCCACAGTGAAATGATATCCACAGAGACTCATCAGACCAGGCCACAGCCAGTCCAGTCTTCTCAAGTCCAATTTTGTTGAGTTTGCATGAATTACAGTCAGAGTTTGCTGTTCTCCCATTGCAATCTTCTGCTGATGTGCTGGGTGTTCAGAGATGCTCTTCTGCAAACCCTGATTATAATGAGTGGTTATTTGCATTACTGTTGCTTTCCCATTAGCTAAAAACCGCCCGGCCGCTCTCCTCTGTCATCTTGCATCAAAAAGGCATTTTCACTCTCTTTTTCAGACCAGTGTCTGTAAACCCTAAAGATGGCTGTGTGGAAAAATCCCAGCAGACCAGCATTGTTAGAACAGCCCATCTGGCTCCGACAACCACACCACACTCAAAGTCACTTAAACCTTCCTGTGATGCTCAGTTTGAACTTCAGCAGGTCATCTTAACCATGTCTACATACCTAAATGTGTGCACTTCCTGGCATGCGACTGGCTAATTTGATATTTGCATTAATAACAGTTGAGCAGGCATTCCTAATAACATTTCCCACATCTGGCACTGAGCAGGAAGTGGGTAGGTGACATGAGGCAGGAATGGCGCTCAATGAGTTGTTGTGAATTCACTGCCTGCACAATTCTTACATCACACAACCATGATGCTACAGTTTGAAGACCTTCATTTTGCCAATTTAGCTTAATGAAATGTGATAAAGGTCGACTTTTGGAGGCTTTTTCACAAAACAGAAAATTCTGTATATGGCTGGATACATCAACACAAACATGAACACGCGCTTTTAGTTCACTTACCGATATCAGCAAGATACTCCTCTCGTACTTTAATCTTCAGGGGCTGTAACCAAATACACACATGTTTTCTTTCTTACAGTTACTCTATGGTAAAAATATAGAGTCAGTCCTTTTTAACCAGAGCACACAAGATAATTGTGGTACCATCATCACCAGTCAGTTAATACAGGGATAACAGGATTAGACTCATTACATACAGCATCTGGTTCCAGGAACAGGGAGCAGATCTGAGGTGCAAGAGTGCGGGCATCTTTAGGAAGGGAGCCGAGGTAAGCCTCCACAGACAGGTAGAACAGCTGATGCAGAAACGCAGAACACAACCATGAAAGTAAGAAATCAAACACAGACATGCACGTGCGTTTGTGTAACTTAGTGCTGACATGCGCCAATTTAATTGAAATATACATAAGATTCTGGATTATCAGAAACATTTTGAACTACTAAAATTGGAGGCCTTGAATAAAAAGCTAAACTGTATTGCCACAAATATTTGCTTATCTGCCTTCACACGCATATGAACTCGAGTGTCGTCCCACACTTAACCTCCTCTTAAAGTCTGAAACATGACATAACTGCAATAAAATTCAAATTTTGGGAAAATGGGGAGTTTACTGAACCTTGTGCAAAAGATAATATAAACTGACCAGAGGGTTGGGATCCAGAAGCTGGGTAAAGACATATCTCATGAACACTGTCATGTGTGCTGGTCGTGCCTTTAACAGCTCAATATCTTGGTATGGACCGTCCATCTGAGAGAAAGATGGGAAAAATATGAAGGGATGCTCAACTGGCGGAAAATGTACAAAAAAAAAAAAAGAAGAGACATCTTCCAAAAAAATATATTATATCCATCTATCTATGTCACCTCATTAAATGCATAGCCGTCATATTCTTCATCTTCCTCCTCGGGCCCGATGATCTGGGCCTTTCCACCCTTGAACAGACACACACAGATTTCAGAAAACGGAAAATACTCTGGAAAACACACGTGCATTTTAATTCACATAATTCATGTGCAGGGATCAATATAAATAATGAAAATATTCATGCTGAAAAATGATCTCAGCGACTGTCTCGTGCATTTGAAAGGAAAGGGCAAATCAAAGTGCCACACGGCAGAAACAGGCAGGAAGCGACAGCCTGAATGTCTGAGAAGGAAAGCAGCTGTTGCCTTGAAGGGTCGGCGTGTCACAGTGAACCATGCAGAACATGCAGGTACGAAGGCAGACTCCCAGTACAGACTGGAAATGTTGTGTAATACAGCATCGTCTCCTCAGTTACTGACTCTGCTCTATAAAAGTGATTAATAACGTTCAGCCTGGTTTGGTAACAATCACATGACACCACTAAATCTGAAATTTCCAAAGTGATACATTAACGTGGTGCCCTTTCTCCGTCTCCCTCTCTCACTTTCTTTTTTTCTTTTCGACCTGCATGCCCTCCTACCACTCCAGTACACATTTATCTTAATCGTGTAATGATGATCCTCTGATTTTTTCAGTCATTAGTCCTGTGTGCCTCCAGCAGCAGAAAGAGGAAAACGTCTTTGCAGTGAATATGTGCATCAATCTCACCAAATCAGATAAGGTGGATATGTCGGACGTCTGGCGCCGGTGCAGGGGGGTCCTGAAGGAAAATGAGGGGGAGGAGTGGGGACTCTCAAAGGCCTGGGGAGGAGGACGAGGAGAAGGAGGGAATGAAGAAGGACGAGCAGGACGGGATGAGCGCACATGCACAAGCACACACAAACAAGCTTATTAAAAGAGAGATTGTGGCGCCTACCTCCATGTCTCCTTCACTGGAGTCTATTGATTGTCGCCCTGTGAAAGCAAAGAATCAATTGAAACTGATTATGAAGCAACCAAATCTATCATTAAAGTTTCTAGTGAATAAAGCTTAAAAGACACAGAGTGCTGTGCAAAAGACCAGCTTCACACCATGACAGAGCCTCCACTGTGTTTCATAGATGACTAAGGACCCTCACCTCACTGGATTCTTAATGGCACGACTTTAAGACACCGCTCATCTACTCTAGAAACTTTTTTTAATGACTCACTGCACACAACGCGAAGAATCGCCAAGTTTCCGGCTAATATCTTTATGGGACTCATACAATCTTCTGTCAGTCAAACTGTGTTATCTTTGTCACTTTTAGTTAGGTTCAGTTTAAAGTTAGTTTCCTTTTTCATTCTTAACACAGCTTATTTGTTAAGTAGCTTAAAAAATAAGCATTCCTCTGAAAATGGTCAGGTACAAGGACTGGACTGAAGATGAGTGAAAAAGCAGACAAGTCCAAATAGAAGCTCTGAAAGACTTTCAGAAAGCCTGTTGCTCAACACCTCTTTAAAAAAAGAAAGAAGAAAGATGACGCGTGGCTCGAGACTTTTAAACAGCACTGTATATTGTGAAGCTTTACAAAGACCCACAGATACAAACCTTCTCCTGCTATGAAGTAGCCTGTGACAGATTCTGACCTCGTTCCCTCCTACGAACCAAAAATAAAGCGAGTTAAATGGATTTGAAGCACAAGCTTTAAACAGAAGTTACGCTTGTTTATTACCTTTATGATAGAATTAATTCATTTTTGGGGGATCGATCAGGGTTTGCAGGATAGGAATTAAAGTCTTTCATGAGAGCAATACTGCACAGTTAGAGCAGCAAATCAATTTAAAAGAATGACATTGTTTTATGTCCCTGATGCAAATGGAAAAAAGCACCAAGCATGTTAGTCAGATCGTTCTGTTTGATGTTTCCCCTGAAAACATTTTTTTTTTTACTTAACTGAATTTATCTGGTCATGTTGCCTTTCTAGTAATATGGTTTGTTCTTTTTATTGTGTCTTAGTGTAAGCTCCGTCCTAGTAAGATCATTAAGTGAATGTTACAGGAGCTTTTCAGCGATTACAGAAACTGTAATAGAGTAAAACAGCCTCACCACATCTTGCTGAATCTTGACTCTGACTTGGTGAGCTCTCCTCTTGGCGCTTTCAATTCGCTCCTCCAGCAATGGCGACGGGTTCCTCAGCTGCTCATCCATCAAGTCCTGCAAATCAAGTCAGTCTCCGTCTGGTTATAAACAGCAGATTTTATCCACACAACTTTATCTTAACTAGTATTCCAAAAGCAAAACAGGCCAAAGGAGCTTAAAAAAATATTTATTCAAGTACACGGTGATAACGGGAGACAGCATGCACTAGATTTTTCTGCAACACGGGCAGCTCACTGATATGTATCGATATACAAATAGCACAGGTGGCATGGATACCTGCAGCTCGGCCTCTTCCTGCTCCAGCATTTTCCTGAGTATCTGAGTCGCATGTTTTTGTACTTGTGGGTCCTAAAAAAATGAGTGTGACACACAAAAAAACCCTGTAAATCACTGACGTTTACTCTGCTGGTAAGTAAGCTTTACCGACTAGATATCAGTCCTGAAAGTTTCATGTACTTGTAGTGGTTTGGGTCCTGTGATCCTTTGGGAGGGGGTGCTGCTCAGTCCAGAGGGCAAGGGTGGAGGTGGAGGAGGTGCAGCCTCCCCAGCCAGAGATGATCTTTGATTAAGAGTGTGATCAGTGGCGAGGGGCTCTAAGGGCAAGGAGGTGGTTGATGGAGACGGCCCTTGTAGTGTAAGTGCGACGTAAGATCCAGCTTTGAAATGATAAATGATAAAAGAATGAGGTTAAAATAGGAAAAGCAAAAACATGTAACCACTAAAGCCAAATATATACTCACATTTTATGAGCTTTACCACCTCTTGATGGGACATGGAGGCAACCAACGAGCCGTTCACCTGAGCAGAAAGAGAGACAGAATCAGTAATGTTACTATTGAATAGGAACAAAAAGCACAGATTCCCACATTCAGTGACATGGAAAGCAGTACAAACCTTTATGATTCTGTCCCCTTCTTGGACACCAGCCTTCACTGCTGCTCCACCTGAAGAGCATCCATACAAACATACATTCAAACTCATGCAAAGGATAAAGGACGATTTAACTCACACATAGTCAGCACGGCTGTAATCCGTCACCAACCAGAGCACGTGGGTCAGACTGCATTTGAACAAGCATTCTTTACAGTGATGACTCATAGAAATCCACAGTGACATGCCTAACTCACACAAAGTCATACAAACACTCTCCTTCCATCTACCAAAAATTCAATCACATTCACTCTGATAAGCGAATCAGAGAGCACCTCGTGGTTCCAAGGATACTTTGCTGTCCTTGGAGCTGAGCTACTGCCGCCGTTAAGCCTGAAGTGGTGTTACAACAATAGAACTACTGATTGCTGCTGGCATATTAGCAAATGAGATGGTGTTATTTGTTGTATCGCATTCATTTAATGCTAGTTAATGTTCACAGATGGGAAGCTGGATTCTGTAAACACAATCCTGGCGAGTTTACGGTCTCAGTCACTCGTTTTGGGTCATCATAACAGGATGGCTGTAGCTCAGGTCATGTACTAATCATAAAGGCTGGTGGTTTGATCCCTGCTCCAGTCTGCATGCCAAACATCCTTGGGCAAGATACTAACCCCAAGTTGCTCTCGGGCGTGAATGTGAGTAAATATTAGCCTGAAAACACTTAAGCATAGAAAAAAGTCCACTTATGAATGGGTGGGACTGTGGCGTGTTGCATAACGTGTTTGAGTGTGTGAGAAGGCCTCAGTTTACCATACTGAACAACAACTCTTCACTAAATTACGTTTAAAAAGGGACAATTATCTGCAGTATTATCTGCTCACTCATTGGCTAACAGCATGTCAATCACAAGCTGTTAGCCAGTGAGGGTGCCGTTTCACAGTCAGACCCGCCTCTCCTCCTCTCTGGGTTTTGCAACTAAGGTGACGATGGCAACGATGCTCACTGAGCCTTCAAAACCCAAAAGGTGATGTAATCGCACCTGCGTTCACCTTTTAACACGGTCTACGTTTCTATGACAACGCAGGCGCAGCATCTCTGTCTCACCTGGTCGGACATTCTGTACCAGCTTCACTCTCTCTCCACACACGGTGAAGCCGAAGCCCAGCTGGTCCTTTTGCACGACCACACATCTGTGCACAAGTCCAGTGCCTGGGGGAGAAGAAGAAGAAGAAGCCGTAATGAGCGGCGGGATGACATTAAATGAAACAAGAATATAACGGCAACTAAAAATAACCCATCATAAGTCGCAGTTACCTGTACTGTCAGAAATGATTTCTGCCGTTGGCTCTCTCTGCTGAGGGCCAGAGTTTTTACGCTCCGAGTCCCCAATTGTCAAACTGTTGATCCTGGATTTGAAAGACGAGAAAAAGAAAGAGACTTTAGTACGGCATGATACTGAACAGGCCAATTTAGGAAACGCTCTGGGAGGGACAAGGAAGCTCTGAAGGGAATAAATGAAAAACATGAGGGTCAGTGGAGGAGAGAGAGAAATCAAAAGTCAGAGAACAGGCCAAAAAGCTTAGCCAGGAATGCAGAAAATGAAGAGAGAAAAGGAGATTCAATGGAGGCACACGGTTATATTTGCTGTGGTATTAACAGTAATAAGTGTATGAATAGCAGAGAAGAGACAAGATAGCAGTTGACAGGAAAACTCACCAAGCGGCAAAAGGGCTGAAAGCGAAGCATGACAGGAAAGAAGGAAGAAACAGAGAAGAGGGGAAGAAGCAGAAAGTCAGAATAAAGAATAAGACGGAGAAAACAACAGAGAGAAACAGACTGAGGGAGAGGGCAAGCTGCTTAAACCATCACTATGCCCTTCAGACTATTACAGACTGTAAACACTGAAAGCAGCCATGACTTCAAGGAATGTATTTATATGAAGGGGTGTGATGGAAGAACACACTCCAAAGGTTAAAGGGAATAATTCAAACAAAGGTCATTTTAAATCCAAAGAAATGTGCTGTGATCAGGACAGATAGAGCTCCTCACATAGGCAAGTAGCACCGAAACGATCAGTTACTTAAGGGTTAGGTGATCAGAAAAGAGAAACAAAAGTAATCTGAACAAAAAAAACTTATCTTGAGAATGTCTCTAATTCTCAAATCAAACTGGTTTTGGCTACTCCAATGTGGGGATTTGCTCCAATGTGGAACAGCTTTGTTTTAAACTGCGACAGTCTGCAGCAGACGGCAAAAATCACCAACATCACTGCAGTTCATGTCCTTCTAGAAGCCTTTTGCTTTGTTTTCCTACTCTGAGTAGTTTCACTTGAACACTTTAATTTCACTCAGTGGTTTACATCCTTCCAACCATGCTCTTCTACTTATCCAATTCAGGGGGGCTGGAGCCTATCCCAGGTATTACAGGGCTCTGGTACATCTATCCTGGGCAAGGTAGCTCACCCCGGACCAACGTGCCTTAGGAGACACTATCAGCATAACCTTGACAAACAAAGGAGTTGCTGAGATGATTCGGGTACCTGAACAGGATCCTTCCTGTTAAGGTGTTCCAGGAGTGCTCTACCAGGAGGATGTCCCTGGGTAGTCCCATGGACAGATTACATCTCTTGGCTGGTGTGGAAACACCTCAGTGTTCACTCAGATGAGCTACAGGAGGTGGTTGGGCTTCTCTGCTTAGGCTGCTGCCTTGTGATATGGCCCCAGATAAGCGGTAGAAAATGGATGGATGGATATTTAAATGCACCAACTATGCACATGCACCACATGATGGACTTCAAATAAGGATAGCATAAATGATATTCGGCTGTGGTGTCTCCAGCTGTCTGTGTACGTGTCCATGACGAGTATAATCGAGGCTTAAGCTACCCAGTGTGCAAGTTCACTCCATACCTGACAAATTAAGAGTAGGAACCCTCTCAATTTCTGATGTTTGATTTGAGACTTCTGCAATTAATCTACGTAGCACCTACACAGATGGTGAACACCATTGCCATCATTTAAACCTGCATGTGTTGGTCAATGGTCACATGTAGTTATATCTCCAGGGTCATGAACATTGGGGCTGTAGGTTAGATTGAGGGATATCAGAAGGGTTAGCTGTTATGACATAAGCATAGCACAGAGCTATACTTGCAGCAGCGGCTTTGACAAAACGGCAGTATTTAGATAAAGATGTCAAAGTGTTTCTTTATCACTTAAAATTAAGTGTTCATGTAAGGATCGTGCACGTAACGAGGTCATAAAATGTTTTTTTTCTTGTATTTTGGGTTCCTAATGTCTCCAAAGCACTGTGAAAAAAAACAAGCAGCCAACCGCTGAGAAATCTGCTGCCACAGCTGTACAATCTGTAGGCTTCACTAACCCCCAAACCCTGACATGAGCGACCACCGGGCAGCTGTCCTACCTGAACAGTTGGTTGTCTGTCTTATTGGCTGCCCTGCCGTCACATGACACATACAAAGACACAGCAGTGGGAGGTAATGGGCACGTGCAAATCGGGGAAAACAGTATACAGCAGGAGAAAGAGGAAAGACACATGATAAACAACAAAGATGCATCAAAGACGATCACACAGTGCAGGGATATATGGTGAAAGTGGTGACATTAACAAACAAGACGGGGTGCACTACATCCAGTGTTTTATTAGAGGAGATGCAGATTGAATGACATAAATGAACATTATTGTGCAATCTTTTGCTTTTTTTCCTGAAGTCAACAAGCCGTCTGAGCTGTTCTTCCAGTGGCCTCACTGCACATCCATCAGATAAAAACAATGCTCACCTGGGAATACCACATTTTTTTAGCGAGGCGTAAAGAGGCATACCTTTACCCACATAAACTGTCTGGGTGTAGCGGATGTGAGGCTCCTACCTGTCCAGCGTGGAGGTGGGTTGGCGGAGACTCATGTCTGCAGCCTTTATAGACACTCCTCTGCTTCCTGGTGTGGGATTCAAAGCTGTCACTGGGCTGTTTTTGTTATCACCACCATGATCTCCGTTTCCTCTTCAACTATCAGTCCGTACAATGAGCCTTTCTGTTGCGCTTTGATCAGATCTCCACGCTACAGGGCTGCGGGTTTAGATCAGACACAGTGCTCTTCATGTTTCACACCAGTGGTTCCAGTTTTAGGCTCAGTAGGATTTAAAGGAAAGTGCTGCTAAAACTATAAACCCTCAAATCTCCCCAGGGTTTGTCTTCACCCCTTTACATTAGTGGTTAAAATTAAATACAGATCGTTGGTGGCTTGGTGCTGAGGTCTCACATTAGTGGCAAATGGATAGAGGACAACCTACTTCCACAAAGATCATCAATCATGAATGAATGGGCTGATATGTCTGGCTATGCTCCAGGAGGTCAACAACATCCCATTTTTGGGTTTTTTGTTGTTGTTTTTTGTTTTTGTCTGTGTCAGGTTTAAAGTAACTGCTTAAGCATGGATAAATAATGTTCAGAGGATTAACTGGATATTCGGTGATTACGTGCAGTTAAAAGAAATACTAATGCGAACCTGACACTCACTTGACTCAGACTTGTTTACATGTGGAGGCTTCAGCAGAGATCCCAGACTAAATAACCCCATTCAAATGAGTACTGCTCATTCACTTTGCTTTCACTGATAATGCTTAAAAATAATAAAGCCACCACAAAGTGAATATGATCTGTAGTGATGTACATGTGGCTATCTAGTGCAAATTACTCAATACACAAGTATCAAACTGCGTGTATTAGTGAAACAAAAATATATATATATACACGTTTACAAACAGCCTTATCACTCACCCGAGCTAGCTGTAAGCTACAGAAAACAGTCTGTTTTTCTTAACAATGTAAACAACAGCAAAACCAAGACGCTACAAATGGCTTTGCATTAACGCTACTGTCTAACTAAAGGGCTAGCCGATTAGCAGATTACTGGGTACTGGCTCACCCCGCAGATGGAGCTTATATACAAGTAAGCACAGCAAAGAAAGAAAGCGAAAGGTGATCTCCACCGTTCACCTGTGGCTTTGTGTAATTAGCTGACTTGAAGATGATTGCAGCGGCCTGCTAATTGCAGCTAGCGTTAGCTCGGTGAAGTCAGCTCTACGAATCGGCCTCTTTCAACCAGCGGCATGGCGTTGTGTCTCACGCAGAACCGAAGCGCTGCGTGCCCGGCTTTCACCTGCCGAGCCTCCGAGCTAGTTTGCTAACCGGCTATATCTGCAAGACGAAAGACCGGCATGACTTTAGCTGCATGTGAGCAGGTGGATATCACAATGAGAAAGGAAAGGGGAGGGGAGTCAATGCAAGCCCCGGCTTGTTATATCCAGCAGTCTTGTTTTCGTGCAAATTCACACGCAGAGTTGCATATTAGCTAGTTAGCGAGAAGGCAAAGCGATTCCAGTAAGAGCTCCACCTCAGGTCTTCTTTCCAAATACACAGCGGTTACAGCAGAATCTGCTTCCCTCTCGTGGTCTGCCACAAAAACCCGGATTTAATTAATAATCGTCGTAGCATATGTTTATCTCCTCTCCAAAGTCCTTGACATTAAGCTGTATGCTGTGCTGTTATCTTGCTGTCTTGTCTGGCTGCTGATCCACCACCATATCCTCAAGGATCACACGACGTACACACAGAGCGTAAACAGCGCCCTCGTTTGGTCAGGGTTGTACTACTACCGGACAGTAACCAGACAGGATAAGTTTGAATTGCATCCGTTTATGGAAAGATTTTTTTTTCAATAAAAATATATTTTTTAATAATTGACATAAATATTTATTTTTTCCGTCGCTATCACTCTAGCTTGTTTGTGCCACAGATTTTATGAAACATATTTTCATTTAAAAAAATATCATATTTAACAAATTATGGAAAATATATTTTTTCATATTTCGTTGTATTTCTTTCAATGATTTTTCTTTTCCGTGAGCAAGTCAAGGTATTGGAATCATATCACAAAATTTTGAGTTATGCATGCTTTGGTTCAGTAGCAGGTACGGTGGATTTTTTAGTAGTAGACAATATGTGAGTGACCTATGGACAGAAACTGTACAGATGTCTGGTTGTTTTGGCCTGATGTGCTCTGTAGCGCCTAGAGGGGAGCAGTTGGAACAGCTTGTGTCCAGCGTGTCATTGGTTTGCAATGTAGTCCCGCATGAAGTGCAAGTTGGCACCAATTAATTTTTGACTTTCCGTTGTAGACCCTTGTAGTCCTGTGGCTGATCCAAACCAGTAATGGATGAGCAGAGATCAAACTGGATTATTGCAGAGTAGAACTGGATCAACAGCTCCTGAGCCAGGCTGACCTTTAAGCTGGTGCAGGAAGTCTATCCTCTGCTCTGTCCTCACTTAAGATCCTGGGAGACTGTGGATCCCAGAAATCTGAAGAATTTTACAGCACACACAGTACCGTTCAACCCCACATCTTTATGCACGCTCATCACCATCCTCGATGAGTCTAATGACATGTCATCTGTGAACTTCACGATTTTACCAGACGGGTCTTCTGAGGTTTGCTTATTGGGAGGAGAGGAGAGAGGAGGACACAACCCTGGGAGGCCCCTGGTGATTTTCTGGATGCTTGATGTGATTCTTTCCAGCCTCACTTACTGCTTCCTCTCTGTGAAATTCCACTCAGGAGTCTTGACATTTCTACTCAGAAGTAACTAGAAAATTCGAGATAGTAATAATGTGGGGTTATTGTGTCAGAATTTTGACACAAAATGACATAACTCACACTTTTGACCTATCGCTGCCGGTTGATTTAATTATTCATTTAGTTATTTATTTATTTACTGGCAGTAAGCTACCACGCCCATCCAGCAGCGCTACACAACTAAGCATCTCTAGTGAGGAGCACGACATGCCAGTAATGACCTTCTTATTTGTTCCTTTATTGAGTTATAAGCCATCCCCGAGAAGAGGTTTTAGCACTTTACCAAATACGGCAGTGTGGGGCGTGGGCAGCAGCGGTTTTTGACACGGGCGACACGGGCGGTTGCCCGAGGCGGCATCACGGGCATCGGCAAAAAAAAAGAAAAAAAATGCTCGTACTCACATCGGGAATGGCATAGGCACCGATCGGTTTTCTATCGCCCATTTGCTGGGAGTAAGGGCGTCCTCCGTTTGCGAGGTGCACCTGCTGCTTGCGGCACAGGGAGTAGAGGGCGGGGCGGCGGGGGATTCTCTGGCTGGCTGGAGCAGCATCTAATAAACAACTCGCAAAATAAAACAAAATAAAAACAACAAACACTAAAACAGCGGACATTATGATACAGACTTATAATTTGCACCGACGTTTTTTCGAAATTCTACACGCGAAAGGTGAGCTCGAGAGCCCTCGGTGCGCCTGCTCGCTGCTGAAGTCAAAGTAAACTTTATTGTCATCTCCACTACATACAGTCCAGTATATAGAGAGACGAGACCACGAGGCTCCAGTTACAGCAGTGCAAGTAAACAAACAATAAATATAAGAAGCGTAAGAAAATAAATCTACACTGCAGTTTGGTGATTTAAAGTCTCCCACACAACCTGTTGACAGGGGAGAGGGGCCGGCTGCTTCATAATGTTGTAAATCCAAGCCCATTATGTATTCATTCATGATTTGAATCCTGGGTTGTGCGAAATCACAGAAATAAACCCTTTAAAGTGAATAATATGTGAACTGAAGTGTAGGTATATTAGGTTATGTTGTGGCGATCCTCAGGTTGGGGGATTTGTCTTCATACTGGAGTGCAAAATTAACACCAATGGAAGATGGACAAGAAAAGTTCAAAGCCATCAGGTCCTCAGTTTAGAAAAAAACAGAAAACAAGAGGAGGAGAAACGAGCAAGGGAGTGTTCGCCCGGGGTGCCAAACAGGCTAGGACCAGGAGACAGATATCGCTGGATAACAGAGGGGATGCGCCGAGGAACTTAAAGCTTTAACATTATTGTGAAATAAAACTCCTGGTGGCTCAGAAATCGGTAAGATCCCGCCTCAGAATGATATGTTGCTCTGAAAGATTTTAAGTAAAACGTAGCAGCTCGTGTTTATCGCGGTCTATTCTTGGAATAGAGCTGAAAGGCATAGCACCGAGGCGCGGTATGTCCGCTATATGGAAAACTTAACTACTCAGTTAAACGGTTGTTAAACGCCTCTGTTATACTCTTAGAAATGAACACGCCTCCTCTGGCATGAAAACGAGCATAGATTTCTTTCATAGCTTTGTTATTTTAAGAGAGGTAAGAAATCCTGCAGTAGCCTATTTGATTTAACATAACCTGTTATTTGTGAGAAACTTTCTTTGCCCCCATTTTACAACAGTGTGGGTGGTTCCCTTTAACTTTTAAGCTTTATATGACACGACCCCCTCGACTGGGTTGTGTTAAGAACCTATAAGCATGGTACGCGCGCTACCAAAAGCGTAAACCCAAACCTGGTTTCCTGTCAGCAGAAGAGGCCACATAACCTACACCGCACAACCGCACCTTTTTTCTGATGTATCAGGACCATGCTGCTGCTGCAATTTAACAGTCATCTCTCTCAGTTTAGATCACCATGCATGGAGTGTGTTTAATAATTTGATAATTCAACAGGAAGTTAAAAAAAGTGTTTCTGGATGTTGATCCCTGTTAAAAAAAAATACACCTGAAAATAGTCCTAATATTCTGGCCTGATTACCATTCAGTCTGAAAAACTGCTTCGATGTTGCTACTGTTGCTTCCTGGATACTCGCTGTTAGCTCTTCAGAGCTGCTTCTTGAGTCACTTTATGTGCAACAGGATATGTGACACCGGAGTTAATGGCAATTACGGGATCTATGGGGTCGGGTGAGCTAGAGTTGATCTTCTAGTGAAATTCGCCACACCCTAGAAATAAGAAATGTACCTAAAAATTACCCTAAATAACTGTAAAATGGCAACGGTAAATTGCCTAAAATCAAAAAGGTGAAATGCTTGTAATATCTATGTTAAATTACTGTATATTGACAAAGGGTTATTTGCTTTTTTTGTCTTTGAAAACAACAGGAAAAATCTGTAACATTATCTACAATTAATCACCCTACAATTTACATAATAATTCTGTATGAATGACAATCTTTCCTGCTTTTTTCATTTGAATTTACAGTTTACAACTGTATGTTAATTACTCAAAACATACCGTGCTTTTAATTTTAACAAAATGTCAAAACACTGTTAGAATTATTGTGAAAATTACGGTGAATTTTGTTTTAATATTAACAAGCTCAGATTGGTTGATAAAACAGTATATCTTAACAGTAAATACGAGCAATTATTAAAAATAAAAAATGCGTAACTTGTGAAGCTCTTTGATCAAAACTGCTGTTTTTAAATGTGCTATATAAATAAATTTTGATTTGATTGTGATTTGATATAAGACAGCTATTTATAATGAAACTAAATTTTGTGGGATAATAATGGCAAAAGGCTATTTTCTATTGTAGAACCAATTACCCTAAAATAACACCGTCTGTGTGCTTTTACAGTGTTTTTTAACCCTTTAATGCACATCATGAGTCACAAGTGATTGTGTTTTAATCTTCCTTACCATTGAAAAAAAAAATACATTCAAATTCAGAATCTCAGGGATTCATCAGTTAACTTGGTTTGATCATTAAACATAATTTTTCTTATTAGTTAATTGCTTACTCCTCTCCTCGAACTTCAACCATTCATCCGTTTATGACCACTGTGTACCCAGGGCTTGACTGGGACAAAAAATCAGCCCTGGCATTTTGACTAGAGACCAGCCCTCCAGGGAAAAACCATAAAGCCTTTGAATGAAAACAAACGCTTTTGTCACAGTGATGTACACTGTCTTGTTGGTACACAGCAAAATCTCCAGTGTTAAATTAACACTGGAGAGTGTCTATATGGGTCCACACCTCTGAGTGTTAAATACAACACTGTTGAGTGTTAAATTAACACCTTTGACAGTGTTATATGTTTAAAAGTAGCCTAGTCAGTTTTGAAGATTAACAATGGCTAACACTGAGCAGTGCTGATTTTCTAACACTGGAAAATAACTCAAAATGTTAGAAATATTCCAGTGTTAGAAAATCAGCACTGCTCAGTGTTAGTCTTTGTTAATCTTCAAAACATGTTGTTAGCATGTTAGCAGCGCGATGCTACTCTGAACCGAGGAGCTATTTTCTTGATGTGAGCTTCTACTCAGGGGTTTTTCTTCCAGTTCAGAGCAGAAATGCTTTTGTTACGAAACTGGCTGTTGTTTTTTTCCCCCACAATTTTAATTATAAGCTAGATATATTTCTACTAACGGAATTAGTTTGCTAACAGCAACAGGGATGAGTCAGTGAGTCAGTTGGGCTTGTGAATCATGATTCACAAGTCAGTAAAGTGATTCTCGAGTATTGAACGATTCGTTCACGAATCGAACATCACTAGTCCAGACTGAATCAGCTCAGCAAGGGAGGCCAGCAGCACCCTGCACTGAACCAACAACCTTCAATTTCATTGTAAGTGTCATTAGAGTGTCATTAGTGTGGTGCAGAATGCACCATAGAGATGTACAACTCTCCTGTTGAACACCTCAAGACTGAAGGTACACCAGATATAGGAGGAATAAAATTTGAGTCAGTTTTCAACTGTTTAAAATATTTTCACATCTGACAGCCAGGTTTGCCATTTTGATTA